CATCCTTGTCGCCATTGATTACTTCACACAGTGGGTGGAGGCATCCTCATTTACTTTTGTTACTAAGAACATCGTGACACAGTTCATCAAACATAATCTTATATGTCGGTATGTGTTGTACCCCAAAATTTTCCCTCTCATTTCTCAAAGAATCACTCTGAACCCTTAGGTTTTCTTCCATCCATTTCCAAGCCTTGAATTGCAATTTTTTTAAGAAAGTCATCTGCAAGGGCAAAATGGTCATTTACACACTGAAAAGTCAAACTTTGACTTTTGGATCAAAATCAAATTTCAAGAATTATATTTCATCAAGACATGTTGAAATATGAAGTTTGTTTCATCAAGAATTTCAAAAGTCAAAACTACTTTGGAAAAGTCAAAATTTTAAATACTTAGAAATTTTTTTAAGTGTTTAAGAAATATGACAAGCTAAGAACTTCTGGCCATATTTTCACCATGATGCAAGCTGATTCTGGAAGAACTTATGAAACAATAGTTATAGATTTCAATGAGATCTAAAACATTACAGAACAGAACTTCTCCTAGAAATGTTGGGATTTCAAGTTATAACTCCTCAAAGACAAGTCCATGAAACTAAAGGACTCATCAAATTCTGGACACTTTCAAGACAGAGTTTGGTCAGAACTTCTGGGCCAGTTTTCACAAAGGTTCAGACAGAGTTTGCAAGGGTAATTCAAAGAAGGTTATAAAGCATGCTGCAAGCTTCCTGGAAAGTCTGAGAGCTCCTTCAGAACATGTTGGAGCAAGGAGATACAAAGATCAGAAGTTGGATGTCTATTCTAAGTCACGTTGAAGCTGAACTTCTGATCCAGAACTAAGCAATGATGCAGAATATCATGTTGCAGGATTTCTGGTTTGATCAATCTCATCATCATTTAATGCTCACAACCACTTTTGGGTCTTTGTTCAAAGGATTTCCCCACGTGTGGCATAGAAGTACCATTACTGTCTTGGAAAAGCAAACTCTTGTACAAGAAGTGTGTTGGGCCCATGTGTTGCTTTTTCTTTTGAAGTTACCTTTCCTTAATTCCCGCTTACATTTCCAACTTAGGTGTTGCTAAGGCTACGAACCACCATACTTGCTTCAAGAACAAGGAAGCTCCCTAGCATGTGATGGTTGTATTCTCCAAGCTACAAGATTTTTGCCTATAAATTGAGAGCCATTGGCAACGGTAAAAGGGTCGAAAAATTTGAGAAAGAAAAAGCCTTGAACCCCTGCTAAAATTCCAAGAGTCCAAAGTTGCAAACACAAAATACAAAACCTGTTAACTTTTGATTTCTTGCATTCAAACTCCATTTGTTCTCAAGTGTTTCTTGACTAAAACCATCCACATAGTTTATGATTCACATATTAGAAGCTATCCTAACTTCTGTGTTCATACTGTAATACACTCTCCATCCACCTCCACCTCAAAGAAGTCAGAACATTACCCCTTGGCTGTTCCAGAAGTTGAAAACTTCCAGCCTACTGAGTACATCAAGAAGTTGCTCAGAACATCACCAGAGTTTAGGACCAAACTCCAATTCACAGAGTCTTTTCAAGCTGCAAGGTAAGCTTACGCTGGCTCTCATCATATTACTTAGGAATTATTAGATTTGCATGTTCAAAAAGTACAATATAGACATCATGTTTCTGAGGCTGTACGTATTCTGAGGTTTCACGTATTTGTATGCCTAAGTAGGGAGTAAATTAGTTCAGAACTTCTTAAGGAAATTAGAATTAGAAAATTCATGCTTGCCTCTGATTTACAGTTCTGATACCTCTTGTTTCTGAAACACTGAAACCAGCCATAACTGTTATATGTGCATCTTCTGTTCTGTTGAGAAATGACTAATTGCAGATGTTCTGACTAGCATGGAGAGGGAGACTAAGTTCTGCCAGTGGTATCAGAACTTCTGAAATATTCTTTGTTCCTAGCGGACCCAGAACTTCTGACTTTACCTATTTTTACTAATATGATCTCTGTTTTGCAGCACGCCAGAGTTAGAACTTCTGATCTCCTTTAGTCAGCAATACGCTGATTCTATTTTCTTTTTCCTCACTATTTTTGCTATCACTTCTTATTTCATTAATCAAAAACACCAAAAAACATTTTTCATTTTTACATGCTTTATTTTATTTCTTAAAACAAAAAGATCAAAAATATTTTCTTAAACAAAACATATCTCTTTTATGAAACAAAACAAGTTCATTTCACATTTTCTTTTACATTCTTATTCATTCACTATGGTTGTAATAGTAACTTAGGATTTAATTTTATTTGAAATCCCCATTTGTAAATATGTACCCTCATCCCTCTAATGCTTGTAATAACGTAGAATATCTATTTTCTGCACTTTTTATTGCTTTCATATATTGTTAGTAATTAGGGTGTGTATGGCAAGACATGAAATTGACAAGTAGATAACCCTAATCAAGAATAAAAATGCATGCAATCAAACACACTTGCACACTAGCACCCTTAGGGTAATCCCACCTTGTTGCCTATCGGAAATATAGTCATGTCCCTCAAACATGGGCGTTTTAGCAAAGACCCTCGATAAAAGATCGTAGTCCTTCGATGACCCTCGATGTTGCCTTCGGTAAATGATCTAGTCCCTAAACGATATTGCTAAAACGTCCCATAGGTTGCTTTCTATGACTATACAAACGTCCCACACTCGTCCCTTCACATCCAACGATGGGGCTTCTCACCAAAACAATGGTAAGATAGTAACATCTAAAGGAGGAGTAAAAGAACAAATAAGACCTTTTGAGTAGGTAGATTCGCTCCTAGTTGCTCGCTTGCTCACAATAAAACATTTTTACACCAACACTCTCATTTGAAATATTTTCAAAATACAAACACTTCGTACGCGTTCTTATAGAAACGAGAGCCATTAAAAAGAAAACCCTTTTCAAAATCACCTTCAAAAACACATCCCACTGTAGCGGTGAAAATCAGAGATCAAGCTATTAATTAACTTGACTCACAAAAAGCAAGAGTCTCCACCGCGCTTTATTATTTCCAAGGGAAAAGGGAAAAGAGCGAAATAAAACCCTAAAATATGCAATGTAAAATAATACTTAAAAGTAATAAAAATACAATGCGTTTTTGAAAGAGATCGAGAGTTCAGGGGTTGGTTATACAATGGGAAGGTATTAGCACCCAATGCATCTGCGGTACTCCGCAGGAACCTTTTGAAATATCTGTTTTTGGTTAAAATTGTTTGTTTGATTAAAATGGTTTGTTTGGCTAAAAATCGGTGTTGGAGAGATTTTGAAGATACGACGACCTAGTGTCGAAGTTTTGACTTAAAAGGTATGAGTTTGAAAATGGAGTCTTTTGGGAAAATTATCTTGAGTTTAGCAAAATAGTAAACAAACAAAAAAAAGAAAAAAAAGGGTATTCGCACGATCGGATGAGATATATTTGGTGACGTGAGATCAACAAATTTAAATCTTTCTCTTGGAGTTAAAACCACAGACGGATAAATAAGCTAAGAGTATATAAAACCTTAGGTGAAAATAAATCACAAGCCGACAGCATCATCAAAAAACCTAATGTGAGATAATATTCCAAGCATCAGATAAAGCGCAAAGGCGGTGGATAAAGCTCACAGTGTCAGATAAGAATCCCTGCATCACAAGAGATATACCGATAAAATCTAACAGCACGGGAAACTTATGTGCGTCCGCACAGTTTTCAGAAGTTAGTTGGAATTAAAAATAAAATCATAATGCGATGAAAATAATATTTTCAAAACCTGAATTTATTTACAAGTAAAATATACAGTCAAAATATTATGTACAAGTATGTATTTACAGTACCAAATATTAAATCAAAATAGTAAGGTAAAAAGGGAATAAAGAAAAATTATAAATGCGCTACGCGGGAACGAACGCTTGAAATTGTTCTCGAAAACCTTCACAGTAAGCAAATTTGTTAGTAGCATAAGCGGTATACAAATTAAAATGAAACGAAATTGCAACAATTAAAATATGTGTTAGTGAGTATGAAATCAAAAATAAAATAGTATGAATACACGTGAATAAATGGATATTTACACAAATCAAAATCAAGAATTCATGAAATTATTCAATTCAAAATCGAACACGGAAAATTGATTCCAATTCAAGAATTATTCAATTAAACCAAATTTTAGACAACCACTATATCTATGCATTAAACTCCATAGTTCTAATTAAAAAAATTCTAAACTAATGAGGAACAAATTAATTATTAAAACTAAATTTAAATTCTCCAAAATTGACAACAAAAAAACTAAAAATGTCAACAATACCCATTTTAACACAATTGTTTCAAAAAACTCTACAATTCAACTAAAAGAAACACATCACATTAATTTCAATTCAAAATATTAATTAGAAAGGAAAATGAGTCTAAAAAAAGTGTTGTTGCTATTTGAAATTGAAAGAGAAAAAATAGTAATAAATAAGTAATAACAGGGGAATAGCACGTGAATAGAGAGACAGTAGTTATCTTATTGGTTTCTTCTCTCTTCGCAGACTCAACCTTCTTCTTCTTGAAACCCAAAAGTAAAATCAGATCTCAAGCATGACTTTCACCTCCCTCAAATTAAGCATGTAACAATATATCACAATATGAAACAAACAACATTAAAAAAGTAGAAGAGAAAGTACCGATTGCGGGTGTTGTTCTCCGTTGAAGATGGTGCGCGGCAAGAGAGGTTGATCGATGGGCTCAGATCCGATTTACTACAGGTGGAGGTCGCCATTCCGGCTAGCTCTGGTGGCGCACGCGATGGCTAGACGATTCGAGGCGGAGCTCGCAGCGTGGATGCATAGCAGAGATGTGCGATGGACGCGTCGACTTCTACGGATTCGGTGGCGGGTCGCAGAGTTCTTCACGGGCCTGAACATGACGAAGGTGATAGTGCGTGCTTCTTATTGCCGTGAGAAGGGTTAGTTCACATGAGTGGATAAACAGTGGCTACAATCTACTCTCCACAAAATATCAAGTTGGAACATTCTCCACTGTTTGTGGAAACTCAAGCTTGGGCAAGAGCTCAGAGGCAACCTGGTCAAATGAGACAAAGTTGAGATGATTTCTGTTTCCTTTCATAATATTTGACAGACATGTTACTTCCCGATCTAACACTTTCTTTTCGAGAATTTCGGTCCAAAACTCATCATCTTCATTGAGTTTAGGTGATCTTAATATATCAACTACTTTTTCCAGTGATGCTACATTCCTACCAGCACATCAGCCCATGGCGGTTGCAGCACCCACTGCATTTGCAATTGCTAATGTATTAACCATTGGTAAATTATGTATAAAACCGAATGCAATCGCAGCTACAAAACTGTCTCCACATCCAACAGAGTCAACAATGTTCACCTTGTATGCAGGTGCACACACTATACTTGATGTAGTTATTAAAATTGAACCCCTTAAGACCCATTTTTACAATCACCCACTTTGTGAGGATCCCTACTTTAAGCAACTTTTGCCCAGCTAATATCGGATCTCCTATGCCAGTTAATGACTCAGCCTCGTCAGCCGTTAAGAGAAGAACATCACTCATCCTCAAAAACTGATTAAGAGCTCTTTGTTCTTCTGGTGTCCCATTGGATAGACTCTTCCCACGTGGTCCTGGATCAAAAAAGATTGATGTGCCAACTTCAACAGCACAGTCCACTACCGAAAGCAGTAAACTAGGAGATAGGTCATCAAAACCATATACATTACAAAATAAAACCTTTGAATTTTTAATAGCTAACTTTGCTTCTTTAGAAATTTGACTCAGCCAATTAAATGCTGGTTCCTTGCAAAAATCAGCTCGACTACAAAAATCATGTTTTTGCAAAGGATCAACAAGAACCCAACATACAAGTGTTTCATAAGAGTCACCAGAGCTAGTGACAGTATCATCACCAGTACTAATCTTAACCATACTGATGCCCTCATCACGATGCACATCTGATAGAAAGTTCCCATAGATTTCATCACCCACATGACCAATTGATACACAGTCAAGTCTCAGCCTCGCAGCTGCTATAGCCATATTGCAGTTCCCATCAGCTTCCCAGTATTTCTTAGGAGGTGGAGAGGAAGCCAGACGTTCCATGAAAGCTTTACGTTCATGAATAGACAGAGGTGGCAATTGTGGGACATTGAGAACAATATCAAGACAGAGATTACCCATAGTAGCATCATCAATGTTTTTGGATCCCACACTTCTCAGCTTGGTCTCCGACAGCGATGAGGAAGAGACGACGAGAGTGAGACCTTTGCAGGCGAGATTGAGAGAGAGAATTGGATGGAATTGGAATTTAGGTTTGGATTTGGATTGAAAAGAAGAAACATGGTGATGATTGTGGAGGTGGAAAGGGGATGGAGAATTTAGGGTTTTGGTGGTGGATGGGAGTGGAAGAAGAGGCATTCAGCGAGTTTTTTGGGTTTGAAATTGCAAGTGTTATAGAATTTATCGGTGAGGAGAAAATGAAGCCAGCGAGGAACTGCTGCAGAATAAACATAGATGATGATGATGATTTTTATTTGGTTTGTAGTGTTTTAAGTGTGTGAGTACTGTTGTTGTTTTTTTGTGTGAAGTTGGATGTCGATCCGCGTGAAGTTTTTGAGCAGTGTTTGAGACTGTTGATAAATATTTGAATGGATGGTGAGGATTTCAGCTTTTAGAAAATGATTTATGATGTTGATGTGGTCCCACTCTGCAATTTTCTTTCTCTATTTTTGACAAAAACAAACAAATAATAACATAATAGTAACAATAATATAAGAAGAAGAGAAAAGTATTAGTAACAATAAATAAAATAAAATAATAAAATGCAACAATGATAATAACAATAATGAGAACAAAAATAAAAATAATTAGTAACAATAAAAGATGAAATAATAAAATGCAATAAAGATACTAATAATAATAATAATAATAATGAGAAAAAGGGAAAATAGTTAGTAATATCTAAAAGAAATAGAAATAGATTAAAATAAGAAAAATAATAATAATAAGACAGATTTTTGAACTAAAACAAATTCATTGGAAATATGATAGAAAATGCAAATGATAAACTATTTTAATTCTTTTTTTTTTAAAATAGAAATTAAAATGATGAATAAAAACAAGAAAGTATGCGAAATGATCGATTTTTCAAATTAACGACAAAATATGCACCAGTCGAAAAATGTGAAGGGGCGAAAATGGGGTGCGACAGTTGTGCCTTGATAAATCAGTCTTCGAGAATCCATAATCAACCGTAATTTTGGCTTGGGAGACTCAAAACCTTAATTGAGGCGTGACACCTGATGCTCTTGATTCAGACCCGTCTCTGCACATGACACAAAAGAAAACATGAACATACACCTTTGTATGCGATTAGAAATTAGTGATACATATGCTAAAAATGTTCAAAACAACTTGACAATCTTCGCATAGTCAAAGCTTGAAAGTGAGACGTTAAAACCGACCGTATTTCGTGACCTTGACTTATCTTAAAAAATGCAAAAATAAAAATGGGATCTTAGGTCAAAAATTGGGGTACAACAGCTGCCCCTATTTAAGTTTCTTCTATCTGGAGATATGAAGATTGGGATCTTCATTTCGACGAGATTGAAGGGACTTAAATATAAAATACACAATTTTTGGCCTTAAGATACCGCGATTATGTTTACGATATGATATGAATGTGACGTTTTGAATTTTATGGGGAATGACGACATATCAGACAGACTATGCTGGAGAAACCAAGCACATTATACAGTAATCCCACAGAGGAAGAGGTTGTAACTCCACTGGGGAAACAAAGTCATAGACTTCAAATGAGAGACTCTTGAATGATTTACATCAGTGTTGAGACTGAAAAAGAGATGATTTACATCAGTACGAAGACTGGAAAAAGAAATGATTTACATCAGCACTGTGACTGGAAAAGGAAAGGATGGACATCAGTACTGAGACTGGAAAATGATTGACATCAGCACTGTGGCTGGAAAACAAAATGGTTGACATCAGCACTGTGGCTGGAAAACAAAATGATTGACATCAGCACTGTGGCTGGAAAACAAAATGATTGACATCAGCACTGTGACTGGAAAAGGAAAGGATGGACATCAGTACTGAGACTGGAAAATGATTGACATCAGCATTGTGGCTGGAAAACAAAATGGTTGACATCAGCACTGTGGCTGGAAAACAAAATGATTGACATCAGCACTGTGGCTGGAAAACAAAATGATTGACATCAGCACTGTGGCTGGAGATAAACATCTCTGAATTCTGAATTTTACTAAGAACGGTAACACATTTCTTTTTTAACCAAGATATCGCTTGAAAAGGATAAAATAACAAACTTCCCCACGGGACTTTTCCGAAGGGATGCCATTTGCTGAGTAAACATTATTGTTGGGGATACACAAGCTACTCAAATAAAGAGGCTGCCACTTGCTTCCTTTCAGAGGTGTCAATAACATACAAGCTGCTCATGAAGAGACTGCCACTTGCTGTCTTCAAAGGATATTAAAGCACACAAGCTGCTCATGAAGAGTCCGCCACTTGTTTCCAAAAATCCACAAGCTGCTCATAAAGAAGCTGCCACTTGCTGTCTTCAAAGAATATTAAAGCACACAAGCTGCTCATGAAGAGTCCGCCACTTGTTGCCAAAAATCCACAAGCTGCTCATAAAGAAGCTGCCACTTGCTGTCTTCAAAGAATATCAAAGCACACAAGCTGCTCATGAAGAAGCTGCCACTTGTTGTCTTCAAAGAATATCAAAGCACACAAGCTACTCATGAAGAGTCTGCCACTTGTTGCCAAAAACCCACAAGCTGCTCATAAAGAAGCTGCCACTTTCCGTTTTCAAGGGAACAATAACACACAAGTTGCTCAAATAGATAAGCTGTCACTTGCTGTCTTCCAAAAATACTAACGTACAAGCTGCTCATGAAGATGCTACCACTTGCCGTTTTCCGTACAAGCTGCTCATGAAGAGACCGCCACTTGCCGTTTTCAAAAAGTGTTGATAACATACAAGTTGTCCATGAAGAGACTGCCGCTTGTTGTTTTTCAAAGGTATCAATAACATACAAGTTTCTCATGAAAAGACCGCCGCTTGCTGTTTTGAAAGGTGACAGTAACACACAAGTTGCTCATGAAGAGACCGCCGCCTGTTGTTTTTCAAAGGTATCAATAACATACAAGTTGCTCATGAAGAGACTGCCACTTGTTGTTTTCAAGAGGACAATAACACACAAGTTGCTCATGAAGAGACCGCCGCTTGTTGTTTTCTCAAAGGTAACAACAAAGTATCGTGAAGATATTGCTGGAGGTGAGAATCAATAATTTCCTCGGCGACGGACAAACTGCTCATGAAGAGACCGCCATTTGTCGTAGAGAAATCAGAAATAAACAAACTGCTCAAATAAAGAGTCAGTCGCTTGTTGTCATGTCGATATTCCAGAATAAGGTTGTGATAACCCTACTGGGGAATAAAGTTCATCTTCAATGGGGAACCATGAATAAATCCTTCTTGAGGAGACCAAGTATTTATATTGCAAAATAAATGCACTTTCCATCTAAGTTTCACAGCCTAGAGAGATCCACGGGGTATCGTTCACAAGAGACAAAGCTCAATCCAGGAATAAACTGGAGAGAAAATAGTCAAACAAGACTCCACCCAATGAGGAAACAACTCAAATGGGGATTTATCCTATCCAGAGATGGAAAAGGAAGGCTAAAGCAAGGTTCTTCCACGAGATTTAACTCAGTGGGGAATTAGAAAGGAGGCGCACTTTCTGCTTAAGTTGACACTCTATTTGGAAAGATCAAATACGCTATTTGAAAAGACATAACCAAGGTATACGTACTCAAAGACATCAACAAATACAACTGTGCATGCATGATGCAAGTATGAACGAATGAATGAATGTCATGTATATGTTGACAAAACAGACAGGGGAGATAGACAGAAGATGATAAGACGTCCCAGTACAACTCGACACTCGGCTAATCTCAATAGGATGGTAACATTACTGGAGATAGAAAACAAAAGCTATCATTGGAGCAAAGTCCTTTTACAAGGCTTAAATCTCTTTGGAGAGGAAGATATTTTCAGGTAGAAAACCCAAAGTCCAGTCTACTATTGTCGACAATCCATTGAAAGGATAACAACACGAATAATGATTCAGCTGGAAAAAAACATGCTTAGCTGGAGATACTGGGAACACCCCCTCTGATAATGTGTGCAATACATATCACATATCTTGACAAATCTAGATTGCCCCTGGGACCAATTTTTGGATGCCCCAAGTTTACTGCTGATGAGCTGCATGTTGCACGACAATTCTTGTGAATAGCTTCACCTCTAAAATGCCCCGAGCTATATGGTTGATGAGGAGAAATCGTCTCAAGAGGATTTTACAAAAGACCTGGCATTCACCATGCTCTGGTGTCTTCAAACTTTTAGAGAGATTCATCAAATCTCTACGTGATTGCCCCGGATTGACTGTAGTTGGCACAACAAAGTCTTCAAATTTTGCCCCAATAAAGGGTAAACAAGTTGGGAAAGCATTAACTGGGAGAAGCAACATGTTCGTGCTTACGGTCATCAGGTGACATGCCCCTGGATATGATTTTTTTTGAAATGATTTGCCAATTACTCAACATAGTTTCAAGCCTTAAAAGAATAAACTCATCATTGGTGCTTATGTGAGCTTCCTTGATATCAAACAAATGTTTTGCAGTAAGAAAAAGTTTATTATGAGAATTAAAATTCTAATGCAACAGTTATGTAAGTCTTGAAAATTTTGAAAAGATATCGCACAAATTTTGCGAGTTAGAGCACCATTTATTTTTGTATAGGAAAACATATGATACCAACATAACTATTTAGAACATTCATGGGAGTCAGGAACACTATCTCATTGAAGTATGCTTTCAAAATAACCTTGCTTCAATTAGGACTTTTGAAGGTTGTAACGTGGCATGGTTCACGGTTTAAGAAACAAAGGATAAAGGCTCAAAGTATATTTGTACCCACCCGCTCTTCGTGATGTTCTTCACACCTAAGCTTAGTTAATTGTGCGTCGCACTCTGTTTTGAGTTTGGAACGACCTTTTGGGTGATGGTTCACCAATTGAATTTGGGAGACAGTCATCATCTCCTTTTTTCTTTTGCAACATTTTTCATGTTGTTGAGGATTTGTAATGACCTCTCTATTTTGATTTTGATTTGTTATCCCTAACTTTTGCCTGACTGTTCCCGTTTTTGAGATGACAGTTAGCGGGATGCCCCAGCTTTCTTAAGCCTCCTTTTCAGGTTTTGACTTAGTGGGCTTTTCTTTTGAGAGATTGACTGCCTATGTGATAGGGAACCACCCTTGTCTTTTGATTCCAAAGGGATGCTTTCTTTTGTTGACGTTGTTCGTT